GATAACTTATGAAATATTTTCTTACCAGTATTTAATTCTTCAACAAAAATTATTCAACAGTTATAATATAAGTAAATAGTTACTACTTATTATTTTTTTTACAGTAAATTTACATGATAAAATAATAAGATACAATGGCAATTTAAGGATAGGCTTATCTTTTACTTAGCCAATCATCATTATCACTAATAAAAACATCATATGTTTAAATTATTATTGAATTATTTATATAAAATATATTACCTGAGCAGATTTATAAGCTAATTTTATTTCCACTTCACTGCTTCTAGCACCAAGCCATAAAAATACCTGCTCCCCATTGTCMAGCACCATTATATCATCATCAGCTAAATCATCCTAAAATGAATTATCTCTGTATATTTTACTCAAAAATATAAATAATAAGAAAGTAATTATTGGTTTGAAATACTAAACAAATTCTAGTAAGATACATTTTAGTGACTATAACAGGGATGGCCAAACCACTGCTGAATGAACAATTTATTAAAATAATAATAGGTTTCCTTATCATTCTGTACTTTTTATATTAGTTTTTAAAAACATTGTGTGGYTCACCACTATTATTGCTGGCCATCGGCCCTAGACTATAATAATTTAAATAACGGTGATCAATTAAATTTGTAGACAGAAAAAATGCTAACTTCATAATCTAAAATAAAGTTAGTTGTAGGTCTGTCAAATCATTTTAAAAAAGTTAACACTTACCTGGCAAAAATCTGAACATTTTTCTGATATAGTGAAATATCCTTTTTCATTAGAACAACGAAATAGTCTTGTAAATTTCATGTATTCAGCATCTCGTTCATAAGGTTTTTCACCGCCTAATGCAACCCAGAAAAAGTTATTGGGTTCTTCACCTTCATTTATTACTTGTAAACTAGTCCATGCCTAAATAGTTAAGATAATTTAATATTGGTTTTAATAATTATKAAATATTGATTTTTTTAATACTTGCATCATTAAACATATCATCAGCAATTTCTTCAGCTAGTTTTATATCTTCTGGGTCAGTTTTGGATCCAACCCATAAATATACAATTCCATTAGAATCTTCTTGATCAAATTTAACTTTTAAAATGTAACTATAAATTAACAATAAAAATATCAGTTGAGATCCTACAATGATGAMATTTAAATTAAATTACCAAAATGCTGAATTTAAATTCCTTGCATCTGGTTTAATTTCAATAAGTCTTGAATAGAGTGCACTACCATTAGACCTTAAATGATAAAGTTGAACTGGTGGTGGTTTTACTTTTCTTTTACCAGAATGTATAACAAATTTTCTTTTAAAATGAGACAAAAATTTAATATTTTCTTGTTGTTGATGAGTACGAATTACTTCTAGTTTTTCACCAAGCATTGCTTTAAATTGCTTCTCTAAGCTRAAATAATAAAATCAAAATCAAAAACAAATTTAAAACAAAACRTTTTAATCACCTAAAAGTAAATGTAAGCCAGCCCATATTTGATGCATCTCGTCCTTGCCAGAAATATACAACACATTGGAAATCTTCAGGCTGACCCTCTGATATGTCTTCATTTCCTTCTTCATCATCAACAGGTACCCAATAACGACACAAGAATACATAACAATCTTTGCTATAAAATTGTCCTAATTCATCTTCAGGTAATCTCACAAATTTTTTCCCTTCCAAAACAAAAGATTCCATTTGATCTAAATCATCATTCCAGTCTTGCATTAGCTGTAATGCTTCGTTAAACAACATAGGTGGTTGACGAGGAGTAAATAATGCTGCTAAATCATGCTAATAAAATAACATAAAACATTTTTATGACGATAATAAAAACACAAATTAATACTATTTGTAATAACTACTTTAGTTTCTTGTTTCATAGCCCATTTAGTAAGGTCTGCACCAGTTTTTTGAACAGATTCAGCAGTTCTAGTAAAATCTACTGCAATAACTTCTTCCCACCCAACAAATCTTATTTTAAAGATTTGAAGTTCATTTCCCTCTTGAATTCGCATTGTTAATGCATAATCTGGACGTTCAATCATAGAAAATAATTCTTGAGAGAGTTTAACAGCAGCTGCTCTCACCAACCGTGTTGACTTTTTTCCAAACCTTTAGGTTAAATATATAAAATAACTTTAAATTATATAAATTATATGCATTAATCATTGCAATCATGTTACCAAACGTATAAATCAGTAGACGAATCAAGAATATATACATTTTTAGAATTTAAAAGTGAATGCTCTAAAGTATTATGTAATATTTCAACTTGAGGTAGTTCTAAGTAGCCCATACCCAATTTCACTTGATATAAACGAGGACGTGGTGGTTCAAAATTTTCATCCACATTAGCCTAATACATAATTAAAATAATATATTTAGATAAATATGTTAATATATTTTTAATAAAAATAAAAATATATAATATTAAAAGACTTTAACACGGCCAAATGATGGTAAAAATATTACAATTTTATAATTTCAAGCAAATGACTAAGTAACATTATACTTGTTAAAACTAGAAAAT